AGTGGGGGAAGACGCTCGCTATAGTTCCGCCTCTGGCGACCCCACTCACCCACTCCAATTCTGAACCGGAGGCGGAACTATAACGAGCGCCTACTGTACAAGAGTAAAGCATCGCTCCTCGCCTCGCGTCCCCAAAGTCGTTCGCGTCAAATCTGGCAAAGCGCAACTTTCGCTCATTTGTCAGCGACCGCTGCTGAGCGTACGTCAGTCGGTAGCTCGGTCGTGTTAAACAAACTATGCAAAAACGGGCAATTTTCGTCCATTTTTCGTGAGCCGCTGCTAGGCAACACGCAGCCGAAGCTCGGTCGAGGCGCGTCGGTACGTCGGCGTGCGATGCGGGCGCCGCGCCGCGCCGTGCCCCCCGCGGTGCCGGCGAGACCCTCTGCCGGCCTGCCCCGCGCATCGTGGTCGCGGGGCGTCGCGTCGCTGCTCACCGAGGTACACGGTAGTACTTGCGCCGCGCCGCCGACAGAGGCCGCCGCGAGCCGGCGAGGCCGAGCTGGTCCACTGCGCTTCGGGTCCACCACCAAAACCGCGGGCCAGCGGCGGCAGCGGGCAGGGGGGGAGCCCTCTCACTCTCTCATCCGCCCCTCCCATTCATTTGCCGGCCCGAACAGCTTTCATCCCTTTCATCGCGGGAAGCCGACCTGAGGCGCCCGGCGGCGCCACCGAGCCCCGGCCCGCCCATGACGGATCGCGGGTCGGACGCTCATTGCCGTGAAATGACTCAAGTTTTTCAACGCGTCGTCCCCGGGAGGAGAAGGGCGTGGACCTGAGCCCGTGTTTGTCGCCTCGACGCCATGCGGCCGCCCACAGCTGTCGCCCTGCAAGGGGAGGGGGAAGGGTGGGGGCGCCACCACGGGGAGGATCCTGGCACGACCCCAGACGACGTCGTCCTCGCCATGCCCTGGAGGGCCATCTTCGGACCGACGTCGCCGCCGACCGGGGCCGTGCACAGGATTCTGGGGGCGCCCTGGCCGTGGCCCCGGGCCTGCTGGTGGGTCAGCATCGCCCTGCAGGACCGCGCCTTCCTGGCCTGCGAGCTGGCCATGGCGAAGGCCCCAAGCCGAGCGGCATCCGACCCACATCCAGCGGATCCGGACATTGACTGATCAACAGAGTGATGGGCACGTCACGAGAAACGGGGAGGGAAACGGGCGTCCCGTACTCCAGAGGCAGAGGCCGGCAGATTACAAAACATCACAAAAATTGCAAAAGAAATAAAACGTGTAGGTCATTTTATTTAGAAGAGATCACTTAAACTCGAGTTTTCATTTACATATGTACAAACTGAATGACTGATAAAGAATAGACATCATCTTCATCAATTTGGCATACAGTTTCTTAAGAAAAACTTGTTCTTTCCTAACTATTTTTCTTATTAAAGTTTATAACTATTTCTTTTCATCCTCACTATCTTCATCACTACTACTACTACTGACACTAGTGTCACTGTCTCCCTTACCAGTATCATCCCTCTCACCATCATCCTTTCCTTCTCCTCCTTCTCCTGCTTCCCCTTCATCATCTTCTTTAGGAGAGTCATCACTAGAAATCTCCTGCATTTTCTTCTTCCACATCTTTGCATTGGCAAGAAGTTTGAGATTGGGTTTGGCAGATTCATCTTCAGGGAAGATATAGTCAAAGAATTCTTCCCAACCTTCTTCAGTCTGAAACAAGAAAAATTTGTAGCAAAATGCAATGCAGTCAGTCAGAATTAAATGCTACTTCTAACCAATTCCAATTAGCCTTAAAACAAAAAAGAAAAGGAAACCTACCCCATCCTCAGCTTGGACACGCTGCCTTCTCTTAATTCGACGAGGCATCTTTTGTTTGACTTTTTCCAGTGATATGTCATCCCCATGTGTTTCCTCAAAATTGCGCCATGCTTCAAGTAGCAGCACACGTTCTTCTTTGTCTTTAGTAGCCCTCAGAGAAGTGTTAGCCCTCTCATACACCCTTCTGGCAAGTGCTACAGCCTGAGAAGTCCTCTCTGCAGCCTCCTCCTCTGATAACTCCTCATCTTCACCTGCTTCAGCACATGACATCTCAAACTGTGCATAACTCATCCATACCTAGAGAGATAAACATGAATTTATTTATCCTAAAGCTTGTAAAACCAAATAGTTTGGGGTAGATGGATAGGTAAAAAGAATGTACCTTAACATGCAGAGTTCTCTCCAGAAGACGCTCATACAAAAGTCTTGCTCTTTCAAATTCACCAAGGCCAGATTCAAAGTCTATAAATGCCTTCCACAGAAGTTCAGGCATGTCAAGTCGAGGTTGAGATACAGCTAGTTCATATATAGCTCTAGCTCGATCAGCATCTCCAAGGAGCATTTCCAGCTCTGCAAACTGATAAAGGGCATTGAACTAACTAAAACACATGTACTTTAAGCTTTCAAACAGCACTTTGTAAAGTAGATAATTACCCGCATCCAAGTGATGCAATTCTCAGATCCAAACTCCAAAAACTTTTCATAAAGAGTACGACATCTATCAAACTCTCGAAGTTGAATTTCAAGATCTATGTAACCACGAAATAGTTTATCCTTTGGACACATACCTAAGGCCATTCCCTACAAAAACAAAAATATTGTTAGCATCAGTTATGTGAGGACAAGAAGAGCATGCTGTAGAGTTTGTAAACTAAACTTACAAGAGTTTTTCTAGCAGCTGTAAGATTTTTGAATCTTATTTCAAAATGTGCATACAACAGCCAAACTTTGGTAAAAGTGAAAATACGGTGGGGAATAAGTTGAATACAAGCACGATACACTTGTCTGGTTCTTTCTTCATCCTCAGCTGTTAACTCCTCCCACAAGGCATAATTAATCCAAAGGTAAACATATCTTCTCCAAAACTGCTTTTCCTGCACACAAAGAAGGAAAAGTTAACAAATGTCCATGACAGTTGTTATCATGCTAATCTAAAAGGATGCTAATTTTTATATGTCCCTAAAGAAACTGTTGCAGCGCCAACCATTTACCTTGGTAGGTGGTACATTAGCAATAGCTCGCTCATAAGTTTCTCTAATTTGTTCAGGGTTTCCTTCAGACTCAACAAGTCTAAGGTAATCAAACCATGCATCATAATTATTAGGATTTGCTTTGACTTCCTGAAAATTTTTAAGAGAAGTCATATTGAATATATTATGTACACAGACCAGAAAAAGATATGTGCAAAATAAAATACACACCTCTTCATATTGAAACTTTCTTTTGCTGACAATAACATCTTCAATTCCAGTTCTATCTCCATACTTTTTCTCATGAATAGTGTAATTTTTATACAATTCCTGAGCATACTCTTTAGGGATATTATCTAAAGCGTACTGGTAAATTACCCTGGCTCTATCATGTTCCCTCTGGCCTTCTTCAAATTTAGCAAAAGCAATAAATAGCTTTTCATCAAGAGTTTCTTCACCAAAAAACTCGACTGCTCTCTCATAAACTTTTCTCGCACCACTGATGAAACCATGATTTTCTTCAAATCTAGAAAAGAAGTTAAACATAAGAACTAGGGTTGATAGTTACACTTGAGCCCATCAATTAAAGAAATTGGAAAAGACTTACCTTGCATATTTTATCCAATTTTTGACATCAGGATGAACATAAACAAAACGTTCATATATTTTTCGCGCTCTGTCAATTTCTTTATATCTCAACTCAAATTTGATGTATGTCAACCATGCTTGTTCATCAGGCTCCCACTCCATCCACCTATCAAATACTTGGCGAGCACCTAAAAACGAAGATAAGAGAATTATATTAAGACAACAATTTGAAGACAATTCACTGAACAACTATGCTATGATCAAAATTTACCAGCAATATTTCCAAGCATTTCTTCCATATAGGTGTACTTGTACCAAAACTGGTTGGCTCTAGGTAATATTGTGACAGCACGATCCCATAAATTGCGAGCATGGTTGACTTGACGATTTCGCATTTCCAGCTCTGTGTATTTGAGCCAAAGAGTAATATTCCTGTGGTCAACATCCAATGCTCTTTCATAAATAGAGCGAGCTCTGTAGAATAAAAGATTCAATTAATAAACCTTTCAAAAAATAGCAGTAAACAATATTGAGTAGAAAAAAAAACTCAGTCTTTAACCTTGGAATTTCTTTCTGGCTCTCTTCCCACTGGGCATACTTGATCCAGTTTGATATAACACTTCTGTTCTTTCGAATTCCATCTTCACAAGCACGACGCTTTCTGTGCTGATAATCTGCAAGTTCCTCTGGATCAGAGATCTTTTGCTTCGGAGGCTGAAAGATTAAGAAAAAATTAGATTGGTTGATATGAAATTAATGGTCAAAAGAACAATGTGGGAAAAAAGTATTGATGTTGAGGAGACTTACAGGAGGGGTGATTTCAAGATCTCGTTCCTTGGCTTCTCGCAGAAGCTGCTCCGCAGTAATCTGAATTTCAGCTGGTGCTTTGTTCTTCACCTATGGATTAAAAATAAGAGAGATAAAATTTGGTGCAAAATACTAAATACAAATACATAAGTTTAAAATGTAATGGAGACATGTTCACAACGATTAAAAAAAGGGGCAAAACAAAAATGTTGTATTAAAAACTTGGGTGTTTTCGGAATTTATATTGCCACATAGTAAAAAGAATTGAAATATTAATAATGGCTAGTTTTTCAGTGTCATGGGCAAACAACAAATTCGCTTATATTATTATGACAACGACCACAAAACGCATGACGCATAACCTAACTTACCTTCGCCACTTTGGGCATTTTCTGAGGGCGTTCCATGATTACGTTGGAGTATTACAAAATTAAGAAAATGAAATAACTATAGTCTCCGAAGACTACATGCAATGAAACTTAAAATGCATTAACAGAATCATTGATTAACATAAGATGGTTAAGATCGGCGACTTGAGCGACCGCTCTCTGTTCATTTGTTCTTGTACTGCAAATAGGCTGAAGTGCTGAAATGACAAAGTTGAATATCAATCGCAAACTGACGTCGACGTTATGTTATTTCCACGCCAAATCATTGCTGCAAATAAGCGGCGTCAGCTGTTTGTTGTTTTCATTCTTCTTATTGTCTGTAGACTTGAGAGGCCGCACAAATCTAGAGCAATCCAGGAGCAATCTAGGATCTATAGGGCAGGTGCACTGCCGTTTTGCGAGTCGCTAGCGGTGATGGAACCCATAACGTTCTCTTCCATCTGGGGATCAATGTGCGGGAAGCTTGAATTTCGCCACTTGCAAAGGCGGATTTGTACTAAAATTTGCAATTTTGATGATCAATTTATCATTCACGTTCAAACAGGGTAACAAAGAAATACCCTCGCCACTCGAGATCAGCTTTGGGGCTAGATATTATGAAAGTCTCTAACCTCACGCCAACTTCTGCTACGGCGGACTGCGCCGGCAATATGGCGGCAGCTCAAACGGGGGGAT